CCGCGCTTCCTGTTGCACTAGCTGCTCCGTGGCCGCGCGCCCGTCGCTTTGCCCTCGTGGGCCTCCGCTTCTGCATTTGCTGTAGATTTGCTGGTTTATGTCTGTGGTTGCCAACAGCCCTCAGATTCTGCGTCCAGTGGGTGCCGACCCCAAAACAGTGAACCCCGCGAAGTCAGTGCTTCAGAGATTTCCCGCCCGCAACCACCCCCTTCCTTGGAAGTTCCAGTAGGCGGGGCGTCTCCTGAACCCCGTTTTGCCAGGATGCGCAGGGGACACTGATGATTGAGAAATGTACTTCCCTCTCTCCCTGTCCGCCCCCCGCCCCCCCCCCCTCCTTCTGCACCTTGGCACCCACGGAGATGGGCAGTGCACGTTAGCATAGAAAAGACTGGGAAATGCTGTGGTTCAGAAGTTCTGTGTTTCAACCCACCCCTCCCAGTATTATGTGACCACGTCTGTTCTGCGCCTTATTGTACAGAGAGCCGCTCTGGGAAAGTTGTGCCCGTCCACCAACTGTAGTTTGGGGGAAAATACACTCATTCACACACATAACTTTCTGAAGTGCGGGCTGCGTGCTAAGCGCTGTCTGTGCCAAGCATTGGGAATACAGTGGTGAGCAAGACGGTTATTCTTCAAACTGAACTTACTAAAGAGCAGTAAAGAGTGAACAGGTACCAGAAACTCAGGCCAGTGTGTGGCAGGGAGTGTACAAAACCTCCAGGAGCACACAGTAAGGCCACCTAACGGGAGCCGGGGGGAGCCGGGGGGGAGCCAGAAGGACTCTCCAGAGGAAATGGCACTTAGGATGAGACCTGGAGAGTTGCTGGCGGGGTGGAGTGGGAATGGCAATTGCAAAAGTGTGAGAGGAGGAAATGAGAGATGTTCACTGTGGATGGGACTCAATATAAATGGAAGAGAAGTGAGAAATTAGCTAGAGAGATAACAGCAGCCAGTATTCATGACGCTTTTGCTACGTGTCAGACACTGTGGCACATGTCGGGTTTCATCTCGTTTTAACAGTCACACCGTGACACAGGTGTTAGCATTTCCACTTTACATACGAGGACACTGAGGGACAGAGAAGTCAAGTAACTTGCCTATTATGAGGCAGCTAGTAAGTGACAGGTCAGTCTGCTCCTGAGACCCTGTGTGCTTTATACATTTTGTCATGTTACGGTATAAATTACAAGGTAGTTTCCAGCTCTTAAAGGATCTTGTAAGCGTGACAGAGTTTGAATGTTTTCCTGAGGAGGATAGGAAGCCTTTTAAAGGTTTTAAAACAGATGCACATTTTGGAAAGATCATTCTGACTGCATATTGGATTGGAGGGGAGCTATTTTAAAGGCAAAGTCACCAGTTAGAAGTAATTGTTACACTTTAACCTATTATTTTGAATTGAAAGAAAGTTAACATATCTATTACTCATTTATTTCAGCCCTTTGTATTCAGCATGTCTCTATGGAAATAAACCTACCTTTCTATGAAAATTGAAGCTTTTGTTTTTTTGCAGCCACATACACTTAAACCTTGTTTATTTGGCCCGTGTTAGCCTTTGAGTTTGACATGCTTGGTTTAAACCCAGCAAAAAAAGAAAGGAAAAAAAAAAGGATAATAGCACTGCAGAAATATAATGCAAGTGCCATTAGAAAATATAGACACAGAAAATGGTAAGATAATTTCTTGATTGATCCAGATAGTGTATTAACAGAAATAGGGCTCCATCAGAAACATTTTGAGATAATCATCAAGGACAAGTATTGTTATTCCTTTTATTTGTAGGTGTAATGATCATATGGATTCAGCATGGCATGTCCTGGGTGGTTGTACTAGTGATTATTACAAGGCATGACTATAAAGTAACGAAAATCAGCCTCGCCTATTTTATGGTCACCTGCTTCAGCTGTTTTTCCACAGCATTGTGTATAAGCTTACACCATTATGTAACTAACAATGAAGTACGTACTCTCTTGGCAAGGGAAATCATAGGCTCTTAGCTGTTATTAAAGAAATTACATTTAAACACAGGTTTCAGTGAAGTTTACTTTTTTCTAGAAACTGCTTGAAATTAGTTCTGACACTCATTTTAATGAGTCTCCATTCCCCATGAAGAGTTGACCTGGCACAATTGGCATCTATGTTACTGATGTGGTTGCCACAAAAACTCTATTTGTTTCTCTTCTCCAGAGAAATCTATATAGCCAAGGTAGGGTTTTTTGTAGCCAAATTAACGTTACATCTGATATATCAAAATGAGTAAAATTCTTAAAACACATTACTATAGCATCTTAGTCATAGAAGAATTCTGAATCACACTACATCCAGTCTTCTCACTCAGAAGTCATTTCTTTTCTCTCTAGTCTATGCTGCACATTGCTGCTGAAATAATTTTCCTAAATCATATATCTGATCCTGTCATTGACTCGTACATGTGAATTTAGTGTCTCTTCATGTGACTTACCCTTTCTGAGGCTCCATTTCCTTGTTTCTGTAATGAAGGAGTTGTAATAAATTCTTGTAATGCCAAAGCTCCTATCTCTGGGAGAATGAAGTGCTTGCTCCTGCTACCCTGTCCTCCCATCTCTCCTCTCGCGCATTCTACAGAGACATGCCCAGCTATGCCCAGAACCTCTCCTGTGCTTTTCTACGTACAAACTTTGTTCTCACTGTTCCTCCTCTACTGTGCTATCTACCTGTGGGAAACTTTGCTGATCCCTCAGCTGAGAGTCTTGCCTGCCAGTCTTCTGGCTTGTTAATAGAACTATGTGTCTTATACTGGCATATTCTAGCATGTATTACAGCTGTGGGTACATTATCCTAACCTAGTATATTATCGTTTCCTTTACTGTAGGACCTTTACTCATCTTTATTGTTTCTCTAACATCATTTCAGATTCTGTCCATAGTAGGTAAATAATGTTTAGTGGGTTAATCATTAGAATTGCTGCTGAGTGGAATCTAGTACTCAAATAAACAGACTAAACTTGACAGCAATCTTGATTCTGTTTCATTAGATAATAATTAAACATCTCCATGTCTCTTCTTAGTCTAAAGTGGTACTACCTATAGCTTTATTTCTTCACAAGTTATTTGTATTTTCTGAGGCAAGTGAATGAAAGCATTTTTATGCATTTAATTTTCTTTAAGCGTCCCTAAATTATGATAACTGAAACTATAATGGAGTAGCCAAGTATAAAACTTCAAGTGTTACAAACAGAAAAGGAATCGAATCGAATCAAATTAAAAAGGAAAAGAATGGACAGAGGTGATTGCAATTACCAACTGCTTAATAGAAAGAAAACTTAGTTACTTAAGCTGTTTAATTTTAAATTTAAATGATTACAGAAGATATTTTCATATAAAGAAAACTTTGACAGCCTTTCCCAAAGTCAGAAGTAGTAAGAGAGAAATATTCAGTTTCAAGCGTCACTGTTAACTTTCCAATGACTACATTGTTACTTTGGAAACATTAGGTGATAGGAAATTTTAAGAAAATAAATTTAGGTCAATATGATGGCTTGCCATACCTTTGGGAGCCACTGAACAACCTGAGGCAACTGTGAGGGGTATTCTATCCCTTTCTCTCACATTTGCTCATTCCTTTACTCATTGTTCATACTTCTTGGTCTTCTCTAACCTTTATCTTTTCTCTTCCTTCTTTGCCCAACTTATTTTTTCCCTTTTATGCTAACTACTTTACTAAGGTATAATTTACATGTTTAAACTTCCTCTCTGAAATCAATGAAAACACACACACACACACACATATATGTGTGTATATATATGTATATGTATATATTTTTTCCTACCTATCACCCAGATCAAGATTTTGACTATTTCTATCACCTCAGAAAGTTGCCATGCACCTACCTCTGTCTTTTCCCCTTCCCCTGCCCAGCAATTGTTATTTTGATTTCTATTATCCTTCTTTCTTTTATTCCTTTTCCTCTGCCTATCATGCCTCAGATAGGCCAGTGACACTGCAGACACTAGTTTCATGGCAACTGGGAACTACAGAAGTTACCTGTTCCCCAGTGCTGAAGTATTTTCTTAATTTTACCTCAAACCTCAAATATTTGTTGAAGACTTCATAAGGACTCTACACTATGCTAAGTACTGAGTTGTATACAATATTGATACCGGCTACAGTATAATTTCAATAATTTCTAATAATAAATTATATTATTTAAATATAATCTTATATAATCTATATTATATATGCTAAGTACTGAGTTGTATACAAAATTATCTGGCATGGTCCAGAATTTCGAGAAACTGATCTTTTCCCTTTAAGTTACTGGGAGGTAAAGGACTATCCTCATTACCTGTGTCCTTCCCTACCACTCAAGTTGTTTAATAGAATTCTAGATTCAAAGTAAGCCTTTTCTACACTTAACAAATACAAGAAATAAAAACCTCTAAAATTTGTTTCTGAAACCATCAGTTAATAAAATTGTATTGAAAATCTGCAGTGTAGCTTCTCTGAGATATTTACAGCTGCAATCATTGCCTTTGGTCACAGAATGCTTGCATGACACCAGCTCTTTTTGTGTAGGGATTTGGTTTGAGTGAGGTTTTTTGGTTGGGTTTTTGAGAAGGCAGTTTATTCACACGTTTCAAATTTTAAAGGATCCAAAAGGTGTATAGTGACATGTCTCCCACCCTTTCTTCCCCACGACCCAGTTCTCCGTTCTTCAGGTAATCAGTGTATATCCTTATAAAGATTTTTTTATAACTTTATCCTTAAATATAATCTTATATAATCTATATTATATATATTAAATCTTCGTTCTTTTGTATAAATGGCAATATACTATAAGCACTGTTCTACATGTTGCTCTTTTCTCTTTATATTTTAGAAATTATTGCCCATTATTAAAAACCATCCTTATTCTTTCATACCATAATTTGTCTAAATTATTTCTACTCTTTTACTATTACAAAAAATGCTGCGGTGAATAACTTTATACATAAGTCAGTATAGCGTTTGTGCACATAAATTGAGAGGATGAATTCTGGATGTGGAAGTGCTGGGTTACAGGAGTATGCACGTGGAGGGTTCTGGTAGATTTTGATAGCTTGCTTTCCATAGAGATGGTACTGATTTACTCTCCTACCAACAGTGTTCAGGAGTATGTTCCCCCAAACCCTCTTCCACCCTTTCCATCTTTCCTATTCTGGTAAGTGAAAATAGAATCCCAGTATAGACTTTAATGTACACTTTACTTGGTAAGAATAAGGCTGAGCATCTCTTCATATATTTCAAAGTTGTTTCTGTTTCCTTTTCTGTGAACTTTCTGTTCAGTTTCTTTGTCCATTTTTCCCCTTTTGGTTATTGGTCTTTTTCTTAATGATTTGATGGGATTTATATAGTAGGGATAATATCCTTTGTTGGCTCTATGATTTGCAGATATATTTTACAAGTGTTCATGTGTCTTTTGAGTTTATTTTTGGTGGTCTTTGTCATTCAGATTTTTTATGCAGTCATATTTATAAGTTTTTATTCAAAGGCTTTTTGGGGATTATGGGTCATGATTATAAAGGAACATTTTGAGCAGTAGGGGCCTCACACTGTAGTCTTGCTACTCAATTTGAGGTGGATTTCGAGTATGTACAATTGTATGGCTCACAGGGTGTACACAAAGGCTGGAAAATAAGGCTCAGAAAATTCATAAGACCAAGGGAGCCCAGAGCCAGGATCTTTCACAGGCCTATACCAGGTTAGGGCTGCTGTAGCCGGTATCACCACTGCCATCAGGAGCTGCCCCCACTTTATTTGTCTCACATGTATTGTATCAGTTACATCAGATTCTAAGTTTCAGGTCGAAGCATTTCATTGACCAGGCATTCATGCAAATTATAGACAAATGAAGGTTGAAATCTTAATTACCAACATTTGATGAGGAAATAGAGCTCTGGAGTTACTTTATTTAGAGTTCTTGTTATATTTTCCTTTCTTGTAAAATTTATAACTTTGTTAAAAATGACCTCTGAAAAAGTTTTATATTTCATTTATTCGACAAATATAAGATACTTGGATGATAGGAGTTTTATCAATGTCTTTAAGTCATAAATGAGTTAATTTATTCTTTTTTTTTTAGTTAATTTCTAATACAGCCTCAGAGAGGTCATTTCGGATCTGTCATTACAACATTTTTAGTTTTTTGTAGGAATGGTAATGTGCATTTAGCACAGTTTTATTCAGTATTATTCAGCATCTATGGTATCTATGGAAACAGACTTAATATTGACCTGGATTCTCTGAGCTTTTTTTTCAATGTGCAATTATTTCATATTGAAAGAGCCTCAGATTTTATTATTATTAATCCAGTTTTATTCCACAGTTCTGTTAAAAGCACAGCATATGTGTTCCTACCCTATGCAATAAGAACCATAACATTTATGAGAGAAAAATGAGATTGGGCACAATACTCAAAAACTTCATCCGTGATAAATAAAAAAAAATAATAGGAACCTGATGAAAATAGTAGTGTAATTTTGCACATGTTAATTGGTTAAAAGATACATAAAAACTGCAATAAATAGGGCACTATACCTTTAAAAGACCTGAAGTTTGCAGCTTGTGCGTTGTTTTGAAGTAATGGTAGGAAGGTCATGATATGAAATCAGATGGAAAGTTGTCACACCTGATGTGTATTGGCACTGCTCACAACACACACAGTGCAGCATATGTTGATACTGCATTTGTTAAATTAGAGAAAAATATGTTCTTAAAGTATTTGTTAAAAGAAATAATTTGATGACCGAAGGACTTGTATGCATGCATATAAGCATAACCAATGGACGCAAGATACTGGGGGGTAGGGGAGGCCGGGGGAAGGTCAATGGGGGAAAAAAGGAACATATGCTGTCTGTCCCTCACTCTTGATTGGTCAGAGCTTAGGTTCACATTCTTGCACAATTGGTTAATTCAAAGGACAGGGAAGGGTTGACATTTGTTGTTTCAAAACAGTGGCTGTTTAAAACTCCCTTCTTTGACAGAAAAGATTACTTATTTATTCTCACAATGTCAAAGACATGAAAAAGGACCTGTCAGAAATTAATGTAATCTTGTATGTCAACTATAATGGAAATTTTTTTAAATGATTTAAATAAATAAAATTTTGAAGTATTTAAAAAAACAAAAAAGAAATAACTTGAGTAAACTGACTTTTTCAATAATTTCTAATAAACATAATAATGGAGTAATGTTACTAAGCTAGGTTGAGATGATTTTTTTTTTCGAAATAATTTCTTCAAGTGGTTTTTTAGGTTTCTTAAGTGATAAAATTTTTATGTTTTTACTTCATATGTCTCCTAAAATGTTATCCATTTGTATTTTAGGTTGCAACAAGGATAGTGTTCGAGCAGGGTGTAAAAAATGTGGTTACCGTAAGTACATTAAAAAATAACACTGTGTGTATGGTGAATCATTATTTCATTGGGCAGTGTGACTTAGCATCCAGATTTCAGGGCCCTGCACATAGACAGTCCTTTAGTCCTGTTATTTAGTGCACATTTGCAGATGATTTACAAATGTATCGATCAGCACTAAATGAAAACTATTTATGAAACATTTCCTATTTGTTGAACTTACTCTTCTTTATAAAGGTGAAATTGGACCCAGAATTTCTACTCACTGACAAAATTTGGTTTAAATGGTCCATTAATCTCTATTATGATTAATGGAATGGAAAAGTAAACTTTAACAAGTGTAATTATATACTCAGAATTTATCATTATGGACTATAAGCAGCTATTTGTCTAGTTAAATGTAGCAATCCCTAAGGCTTTGATAAAGCTATAATAATATTTTCTGTTTTTTAAGTTGTTTGGAGACCATGCAAATGAGCCTACATTGTTGTTAATGTCATAAATTATTTTTTAACAAAATAAAGGTGATTTTAAAAAAAGATTGCCATGCAAGAACACATGATAAAAAAGCAATCTAGTCATTAATATTACTCTTCAGAAGGATTTAGAATAAAAGCACACTGGGAGAACCAACTCACATGCCTCCAATCAAAGATTGGAACCTGGATCAAGGGAAGCTTGCTCAATTAATAAAGTGGGTACTTAAGTACACGTATTCTTCATATAAATAAAAACTTCTGAAGAATGTACTTGCATGTAAAGAATGAGTGCAATGAAATCTTTTCTGTTTAAATTTGTTTATTTCTATTTTGTTTACTTTCTTCCAATCCTTGCTAATTTCCATGTCTCATTTCTTTATTCAAGACTTAAGAACCTACTATATTTATTGTATTTACTTTAAATCCAGGATAGCCAGTCTGTCTATTATCAGTTTATCTACTTGGACTTCTTTTAACTTAAAACCTGTAGGAAAACAATTAAAAAAACTTTTTTTTGAAATAGAATATTTGTTGATCTAGTCTCCGCATTGCTATTTTATTTTAGACATTAACAGAAGCATCTGTAGTAATTAGACATTGTTAAAAATATTTTTATTGATTTTCAGAGACAGAGGGAGAGGGAGAAAGAGAGAGATGAGAAACATTGATCTTCTGCTTCCTGCATGCCCCCCTACCAGGGATTGAGCACACAACCTGGGCATGCGCCCTTACTGGGAATCCAACCAGCACCCTCTTGGTGCATGGGATGATGCCCAATCAACTGAACCACACTGGCCAGGGCAGAATTTTTTTAGAGAAGCCTAGTAAGGAAATAGTGTTGACAGTATTCCAAGTTGAGTTCTGCTTGATTTTTCAGATCGTTGATTTTAGTAATTAAGTTATTAAACAACTTCTAATTTGTCTGCTGTGGAAAAGTTTAGTAATATTTTCCTCTGGGTTAAACTTACATCTTACAGCTGTTAGAGGTTGAGGGTCTTCTTCATTTACAGATCTTTCTGGTAGAAACTAAATTTTTAAAATTTTCTGTTACATGGAGGCCAGAACCTTTGTATTGCTTATGGAGGTAAGAGAAAAGTCAACAAAACCCTTTGAATGTTTTTAATGGCTGAAAATGTAGATTTTCATCAGTCAGTTACAAAAGAGTATTATCTCTTTTTATTGTTGTGAAAACAGGGGTTTGATTTTATAATTTTTAAAAATGTTAATACTTGATTTAAAAAAATTTCAGCCCTATCTGGGTAGCTCAGTTGGTTGGAGTGTCATCCCCATACACACCATGGTTGAAGGTTTGATACCCAGTTAGGGCACATACAAGAAGCAACCAATGAATGCATAAATGAGTGGGACAACAAATTGTGTTTTTTTTTCTCTCACTCTCTTCCCCCCCCCCCCCAGGTTCCTCTCTCTCCCTTCACTCTCTCCCTCCCTCCCTTCTTCTCTCTGTCTCTAAGTTCAATGAAAAAGAAAAATAGAAAAATATTTTGTCAATACTTCAATAGTAGTTAATACTGTTTTTAAAACTTTCAAGTTAAGGATGAATGTGCTACTAAATAACATGGATCTCATTTTTTTCATGGCAGAATTTCTTCAGTAACATTAGAAGAATGGTTATTTCTATAATGAGTTTTATTTATTTGTTTTTAATTGGCAATTTCTGAAAATTAAAAAGCTACAAGGACACTAGCCTTTGTCCATGGGAGACATTATTTGAGACATGTATTCTATGGACAACGGCTTAGTGTTCTTGTAAACTCTAGCTGAGCATTTGGTTACAGAAGCAAGAAATAAAAACATACCAGAATACCCTAACATTTTATGTAATTTAAAATCATAATCTACTGATATATAGTCATGACCTTTTGTCTGTGGATCTGCTAATTGGTGTTACACAGTCTTTTGAGTGCAAATCATGTCTGAAATGCATTTTCCACTTTGTTGTTTCTTCAAAGGTAGAGAAACAGTTAATATACTTGTAAAGAAATCTGAGTGCAAAATTCTTCTATCATTAGTTCTCAACATGGGGTGATAAAGCCTTCCAGAAATCTGGAGTTTTTGGTGTTTTTGTTGTTGTTGTCCATAGGGGTGGGGAGCAATATGACATTTTTAGTATGTAGGGCCCAGGGACTATAAACGACCTGCAATGTGTAGGACATTCCTAAACAATGAAGAATTGCTTGGCCTAAAATACTAATGGTTTCCCCTTTGAGAAATAGGCCATTTTTTCATTGTTTTAGTTCCCCCCAGTCCCCATCTTGTACAATCTTCTTGCCAAAGCCTATTTTGAAAACTGCTTTTTAAAAGCAATTCATCTAAATCAACTCTTTCTAAAGAAAAAGTACAGCTTTGTTTCATAGAAATTACCACTCATTATCTTTTCCACACTTACATTTTTTGGCCTGCATGATGTTATATAAGCACATTTTGAAATAGTAACCAACTCTTAGAGGAGTACAATATCAGCATATGGAGTAAAATGTATAGGCATGAGCTGAGGAAAAGGTGACAAGGGAAGTACATGCTAGGGGGGAGCAGGAGAGGGCAGCTGCACATCAGTCAAAGAAGCACAGAACTTTTTGAAATTGAGGGCCATTGTCAGGTGTGACAGATAAGATCAGTAAGAAGTGGACTTTGAAATGTTCATTGGATTTACCAGGTAGGATGCTTGCTGACCTTAGTAAGATTAGCTTAAGTTGATTTGTAGGTTATAGAACAAACTATGTAGATTCAGGCCAGAATGGTGAGGAATAAGAAAAGTGCAGAGAGTCTGTGATGTCTCTGTTTTCCAGAAATTTACATGAGGAAAGTATGGAACTGCCTCAGTGCATGTGGACTGTTATACAGAACTAGAGGCCCGGTGCACAAAATTCGTGCACTTGGGGGGTGTCCCTCAGCCCAGCTTGCGCCCTCTTGCAGTCCAGGAGCCCTCAGGGGATGTCCGACTGACAGCTTAGGCCCGCAAAGGCAGGAGAGGCTCCCACCATTGCCACTGCGTTAGCCAGCTGTGAGCCCGGCTTCTGGCTGAGTGGCGCTCCCCCTGTGGGAGCACACTTACACCAGGGGGCAGCTCCTGGGTTGAGTGTCTGCCCTCTGGTTGTCATTGTGCATCATAGCGACCAGTTGTTCCACCACCGGGCTGAAAGTGGCTCTCCGACATCCCCTGAAGGGTTCCAGATTGCGAGAGGGCTCAGGCCAGGCCAAGGGACCCCACTGGTGCACAATCGCCAGGCCAGGGAGGGACGTTGGAGGTTAGCCAGCTGGAGAGGGACCGCAGGAGGGCTCCAGGGCATGTCTGGCCGGCTCACTCAGTCCTGATTGGCCAGACCCCAGCAGCAAGCTAACCTACCAGTCCAAGCATCTGCCCCCTGGTGGTCAATGCATGTCATAGCGACTGGTCGACTGATTGTCTGCCCCCTGGTGGTCAGTACACGTCATAGTGAACGGTTCAGTGGTCTTAGCATATCATTAGCATATTAGCTTTGATTGGTTGAACAGACAACCGGACAATCTGACACTTAGCATATGAGGCTTTTATTATATAGGATATGACAGGCCAGGCAGCCTATAAACAAATAAATGTATTGCTCACAGATCCAGAGGCTGCAAGTCCAAGATCAGGGTGCCAACATGGTCTGGTGAAGGCCCTCTCCATGTCACCAGCTTTTTGTTTTATCCTCACATAGGGGATGGGGCCAAAGATTACTTTGGAGTCCCTTTTATAAGGAAGGCATTGATCCCCTTTATGAAGGTACCACCCAGTGAGGCAGAAACTGTTTTCCCAAGCTAAAAAAATTTACATTAAATATTGGACTGGTATTACATTACATTAAAAAACTTAATTCTATTTACATGTCATTATTAAAACTATGTAGAAAACTAAAAACTGCTTAGAAAATTTTAAAATAAAGGGGTGGGGCAAACAGATATTAGGTTGAATCTTGTTGAGATTCAGCTGTTTCACTTATAAAAATTGTTACTTCATATGATTCAACTAATAATAACCAAAAAACACTAGTGGAGCAATTTTAATATCAGACTTTTGAAGCAAGAGTAGTACTAGGGATAAAGAGAGATTCAAGAACAGTCAACCAAGAAGATAAATTAATAATGTTCTTAGATTTGCTTACTAATATAATCTCAAAATATGTGTAGCAAAAGCTTTCACAAGGAGAAATGAATAAATCTATGATAAAGGTACTTAAAAATTTAACTACTTTCAGAAGTTATTAGATAAAAATATAAGGTAGAGAAGATTTGAACAATAAAATAGACATAGAACCCTATTCAACAAATACTGATGTATATTCTTTTAAAATATATAAATGTACAATATGGAAGAACACAAAAGAAATCTCAGCAAATACCAAAGAACTGATATCATACAGACTTCATCTACACTAATAAAAGAGAAAGATGCAAATTAACCATCCCTCCATCACTCTGCCACTCTGCTACACCCACAAGCCACGCGCACCAGCCAATCAGGAGAGAGTATGCAAATTTACCCAACTAAGATGGCGGCAGCCACGGAGCTAGAGTGAACAGGAGGCTTGGGTTGCCCCTGGCAATGAAGGAAGCCAGGCTTCCCACCTGCCCTGGCTGGCCCTCAGCTCCGCTCAAGGCTACAAAGTTTCAATTATAGCACCCCAGTGGGGACCTGCAGCCTGAAGGGGTGTGGCCAGCCTGAAAACAGCCATCAGCCCCTCACCCAGGCTGGCCAGGCACCCCAGTGGGGACCTGCAGCCTGAAGGGGTGTGGCCAGCCTGAAAACAGCCATCAGCCCCTCACCCAGGCTGGCCAGGCACCCCAGTGGGGACCTGCAGCCTGAAGGGGTGTGGCCAGCCTGAAAACAGCCATCAGCCCCTCACCCAGGCTGGCCAGGCACCCCAGTGGGGACCTGCAGCCTGAAGGGGTGTGGCCAGCCTGAAAACAGCCATCAGCCCCTCACCCAGGCTGGCCAGGCACCCCAGTGGGGACCTGCAGCCTGAAGGGGTGTGGCCAGCCTGAAAACAGCCATCAGCCCCTCACCCAGGCTGGCCAGGCACCCCAGTGGGGACCTGCAGCCTGAAGGGGTGTGGCCAGCCTGAAAACAGCCATCAGCCCCTCACCCAGGCTGGCCAGGCACCCCAGTGGGGACCTGCAGCCTGAAGGGGTGTGGCCAGCCTGAAAACAGCCATCAGCCCCTCACCCAGGCTGGCCAGGCACCCCAGCGGGACCCCTACCCTGATCTGGGACACCTTTGCACCAGATCTCTATCTTACTAATAAAAAGGGTAATATGCTAATTAGACTGGGAGACCTTCCAGGAGACCTTCCGGACGTTCTTCTGGACAAAGCCATGGTGGCAGGGCCGAGGTAGAGGCGGTTAGAGGCCAATAGTGGAGGGCAATTGTGGGTGATTAGGCCGGTGGGGTGAGAATGTAGCCTCAGTATGTCATCAAATTACAGACCAAATAATAACTGAAAAGAAGTCATTATATCTAAAGTTTTCTGCTACTGTGGGTCTGCCACAATCTACACAGATACTTTACTAAAGATGTCCTATAGCACTATTCATGTGATTTAGCATCTATACTAATAAAAGGGTAATATGCTAATTAGACTGGGAGACTGTCCAGGAGACCTTCCGGACATCCTTCTGGACAAAGCCATGGTGGCGGGGCCGAGGCAGAGGTGGTTAGGGGTGATCAGGCCAAGAGGGGAGGGCAGTTGGGGGCGAGCAGACTGGCAGGGGGGTTAGTTGGGGGTGATCAGGCTGGCGGGGGGGACATTTTGGGGTGAGCAGGCCGGCAGCGGGGGGGCAGTTGGGGCCAAGCAGGCCGGCAGGCAGAACAGTTAGGGGCAATCAGGCAGGCAGGTAGGTGAGAGGTTAGGAGCCAGAAGTCCCAGATTGCGAGAGGGATGTCCGACTGCTGGTTTAGGCCTGATCCCTGTAAAATGGCAGTAGGACATCCTTCAAGGGGTCCCAGGTCCCAGATTGGAGGGGGTGCAGGCCGGGCTGAGGGCCCCCCTCCCCCCCCCTCCCCCCCCCCCCGAACGAATTTCGTGCACCGAGCCATTAGTTAAATATAAAATCCTAATATGAGAGTATTTTCTTGTAATCCTATATAATAAAAGCCTAATATGCTAACTGTCCGATGGTTGTTCGACCGTTCGACCAGTCACTATGACGCGCACTGACCACCAGGGGGCAGACGTTCCGACCAGTAGTTTAGTTTGCTGCTGGGGTCCTGCTGATCAGGACTGGGCGAAAAGGGCCAGACACACCCTAGAGCCAACCTCCTGCAGTCCCTCACTGGCCAGCTAATCTCCCATGGCCCCTCCCTGGCCTCTAAAATATTTCTTCTAATTAATTTCCTTTCAATATGCACGAATCCATGCACCAGGCCTCTAGTCTTCTATATATATAAAAGCCTAAGTGACTGTTACGGCAGAACGACCGGAACGGCCACTTGCTATGACGCTCACTGACCAGGCAGGCAGGCGAGCGGTTAGGAGCAAGCAGGCAAGCAGGTGAGCAGTTAGGGGCAAGCAGTACTGTATTGTGAGAGGGATGTCCGACTGCCGGATGTTCAACTGCAGGGATTGGACCTAAAGTGGCAGTTGGACATCCCCCGAGGGGTCCCGGATTGCGAGAGGGTTCAAGCCGGGCTGAGGGCCACACCCCCTAACCCCCATGCATGAATTTCATGCATCGGGCCTCTAGTATTACATAAAATGGGAAACTATAGTAATTCAGTACCCAAAAATAATGCTTATTGAATTAGAAGCCCTGATGAAGAAAGGAAAAGTTCTTTTTCTTAGCATTGCATTCAGGGAAAGCAAACCACCACCCACTGAGTAAACGTTAAAACTAAACATTATATTATTAAAATTGCAGCTTGTTGCTTACTAGGAGACAACCAACAATAATTATGTAACGTATCATTTTGTCATTCATATTTTTTCGTTTTACTTAGCTGGTCACCTGACTTTTGAATGCCGCAATTTCCTCCGAGTAGACCCCAAGAGGGACATAGTCTTGGATGTGAGCAGCACAAGCAGTGAAGAGAGTGATGAAGAGAATGAGGAACTGAATAAATTGCAGGCACTACAAGAAAAAAGTAAGTGATGCCTTTTTCCTCTTCATTCTTTACAAATGTTTGGAAATGTGTGTATTGTGTCATGCTTATCTATTGTTCTATTGCGTTTATCACTAAGATATCTTTCCTGTTTTATGTAAGAGATACTGCATAGGTAAGGAAATAGGCTTTGAATGTTGTAAATAATTCTCCCAAAATCAAACAGCTGATCAGTTGCAGAACCAGGAGGCAAGTCTGTTTTTGATTCTAGAACCCAGGTTTTATTGTTATTGATGTTGTTCCATCACCCTAGCATGTGTCAGTGGGACAGAGCGTCTGATTTAAGACTTGGTTCCTGGCCCTATTGGGCCATTTTTTAGCACGTGACTTTCAGCAAGTCAGTTAACCACTCTGAACCTCAAGTTCCTTGTGGAAAGCACAAAAGATTGGGTTATCAAATCGCACTTTTTCAAATCAGTGATTTTAGCCAACATCAAGCTTTGCTAATGATGGAAATATATAAATGACCCTGAGGCAGAGGCAAAGCAGCCAGAGCTCTGGGCTGGCCAAATCAGCTCCCAGGTATTTATTTCTACTTCAGAACCCACTCTAGTTGGGATTAACATAAGACTAAGACGTTTCTAAGTACTTACACAAAAAGAAGTCATTTTATCATGAAACACCTGCATTTTTCAGGGAACCAGGCCCTCTAAATCCATAGGTTCCAGGATTATTAATCATAAGCAATCCTAGCAAAGCCAGTGCATCCTGCTATAAGCAGTCTGTAAATAAGGATTCTCTTGCCAACAGCTTGAGCATGGACTTCTAGCTTTCAGACTGTGAGAAAATAAGTTTCTGTTATTTAAGTCACTCCCTTCTTCCTAAAAGGGTTCTCTTGCTAGCAAGTACCATTCATTTGTTCCCAGGAGGTCTGTAATTAGCATGTGTGTAAAGAAATTTCTTTCCTGGAGGCATCCTCTTCTTCCCCCTCAAAGAGAAGAGAGATTACAGACCTACTGTTTAAGCATTTCTCTCCCATCTATAAAATGGCCTCTCCTTGCAGTGAGGTTTTTAGAAATAAAATGTATGTGAAAATGCTTTGTGAACTACAGTAGCAAAATGCAATTTATTTGAATATGGATTTAGGCATGGGATGAGAGAAATACAAAAAGTTAAGCTCATTTTAGATCATCAGATAACAATAAACACTTTAAAAATTTTTCAGCTTTCCATATTATATCCAATGAACGTAACTGAAGAGATCAAATGCGCCGGGTAGTGGGGCAAGTGAGAAGGCAAAGAGGGCAAATGAGAGAGACATTACATAGGAGTACGTGCAGCTGCAGGGTAAAGACAGCCCTTGAATACACATGCTTACATTTGTTCCCTACTGTAGCATCACTGAAATGATAGTAAAAGAATTGTTTTTTAAAAGACATAAATCGACAAGGGCAAAGAAAATGGGATAGGAAGCAGTAGTAATAAAACTTTGCTGAAAAGCAGGTGTATTAGTGATGACAGACTGTATACTTGAGAAAGATATATCCTTAACAGTGTGGAAAGCTGAGAAGTAACCTGACACATACTGCAAATCCCTCCAAAGACTTGCTAATGAGGAACCTTTGTAACTGAGGAATTATATAAGGCTAAAAACAAGGTTGGTAAAAATCTGAAGCAGTTAGATACTCAATTCCCTTCCCTGCTCTGTGAAGCTGGATGGCTTGCTTTCCTCCATCACCTCACAGACTATTCTAGGGCCATTTTCTAGACAGCATAAGACAAAGGGTCCTTAAACAGGGGTAGCCCAAACACAGAGGGAAACATAAGCTAAGCGTAGGTACTGAATGGTGAGAACCTTTCAACCTCTTCACCTGTTTGGTTCCCAGATATACTAGTATATCACCTAAGTGTAAGATTTGAAGATTCTTCCCTGGGAATTCTGCCTAATCTAAGGGGAAAGTAATAAAGACACTGACACCTAGGATTCTTCAAGGACGTGGCCCGAGCCAGATTCCCAGGAAATCCAGGTTTCCAAGCTTTGCTTGCTGAAAGCTTCCACTCAGCATTTTAGACAACCAAGGAGCACTACATTTCTGAGGAAAGACTCCAGCATAAAATAAAAATACCAAATCCAACAAACAAAAACATCAACTTGAAGAATCCAGTCTGTGAAGGGAGAAGAAAACCTAAGAGAAATAATTAATATCCAGTTTCATGGACAAAAACAACAAAAGAACTTTTAGAAACTAAAAAAGAAGCAGGCATAAAATGTGATAAAGCAGAAAGATAAAGATGATGTAATCTTAGAAAGAGCAAAATGAGAAAAAAAATAAGACAACTGAAGAATATGTCTAGGAAATACTTTATTCAATGAGTCCCAGAAAGAGAAAACAAAAAATATTTCTAAGAACTGAAGGACATTAGTTTTCAGATGAAAGATTCAATAAGTACCAAACACAGTATTAAAAATAGACCCATACAGAGGCACACCATTGTGAAACTTATACCATAGGAAACAAGGAGAATATAACTCAAACTTTTTGGAGCCAGGGCCAAAACAGGTCATAGGTAAAGGATCAGGAATCAGAATAGCTTTGTACTTCTCTAAAGCAATACTTGTAAGCTGTTGTCTGTCAAAATAAGGGAGTAAACCCAAAAAAGGAAGACATGGAACAAGGGAAATAGAAGAGAGAAGAAGGGAATGCCTGGGATGGTGGAACAGGGAGATCCCAGACACAGAGAGCAGCCAAATCACCTTGGAGCAGAACAGAAGTTTCTAGGAGAGAAAGCTTAAGCTTGTCCATTCCACAAGGACAGTTTCTACCCCATCCATCTACACCGAGCATGTCAAACTTGCAGCCCTCGGACCCCATGCCTAGTTTATTTGGCCCGTGTTAGCCTTCGAGTTTGACATGCTTGATCTACACTGCCCTATTTTTTAAAAAAATAAATGCATAAAATTTTAGAATTAAGAAGGATCTTAGAGAACACATAGTTTAAACACCTAATTTTAAAGAAAAATAAATTAAGAACAAGTAACTTCCCCAAATCACTAACTGGTCACAGTAAAGCCAGAATCGTGATCCAGGTTTCCTGACTACTAGTCCTATACTCTTTTCATTCTAACATGCTGCTCTCCAAACTTAATGATCATCCAGGCTCTTGGTTCTTGACCATTTTTTCCCTCATCACATCAGTCTGGAAGGATAAAGAACATAGTGGGGTGGTTTACTCTAGAGGTGATTGTTTAATCAGTAGGCCTGGGACAAATCCACCCTCAGAGGAAGGGGAAGGGATAACATATTACCTCCAGGATAAGAAGTAGTTGGTAAACTTTCCTTATTAGAATCAGCTTTCCTCCAACCTCACATTGAGAATGATGGACTCCATCTAGTTTTTTTTTATCCTTCTAAGATGCTTGCCCATGGTTGCTTAAAGGCTCAGAACTTGGTTTCCAAGTGTTGTGACTTCCGCTCAGAACAGTGCTTATTTCAGTATATCATGCAGATTCCAATAATAAAGTATTATAAAAGGGATCCATATTTATTTCATGGTCACCTATTACTACCCAGTGACCCAGCCCTACCCAAATAAACAATAGGTTGGTTCCTGAGTACACGGAGGAAGAGGGTGTATAGGTCGTGGTGCTTAGTTCCATTGATAACTTTCTGATATGGCTCAGATCTCTAAAGGGGTGAGGATGAAACACTGACTTGTTGAGTGTGAGTGCTCATCCCACATCACCCTTCCTTTGGTCCTTAGAGGTAGAGAGCTCTTGTACCAACTATCTTGAATATGGTAAGGTTTTTGTGTGTTTATTTGTTTTAATAACAATTAAAATAGTGAACCAGGAGAAAGCAAAAAATTCTTAGCGTACTTAGTTGTTCTGCTTTTATGAAATAGTCATGAAAGGGAATAGAGAGAGAAATGTCACCTAAAAAACAAGACTCAGAACTTATTTTTATGTAAGTTCTATTTTCTATTTTGCCTCTATAGATATATACTAGAGGCCCGATGCACGAAATTTGTGCAAGGGGCTTGGCCCTCGCAGCTGCAGTGGCTGCCTTGGCCCTCGCAGCCCCGGCTTCGTCCAGAAGGTCGTCTGGCTGTCCAGTCTAATTAGCATATTAAACTTTTATTATTGTAGATATTTGCTTCTATTATAGTGCATATTTTCCAATGCATTTAATATCTTAATATCTTTCATTTAAAACAAATATAATTCTAAATGACAAATATAATTTTTGATGCAATTAAAGAATGTGAGAGGAGGACTTAGCATGGACAGGAACAAGCATTGTTACCTATTATACGATAACAACCTGGGACCTGTGCCCCCATAGAAAATTATATTACTGGTGTTATGAACAGGGGAAGCTCAACCAATATATAGCAAGGATCAAAGTGTGAGCATGCTTGTTGTCTAGTAGCACTACAGTTCTTCAGGAAGCTTGTGAAAACTTTACACTGTGTTTTGAACTTCCTGAAGAAACTTTGGAATTGTATATGGTAGAAATATCTAAAAACCTATTTATGTTACAGTATATATAAAGTCAAGGTAAAAGAATTTCAGTATTTACAAAGGATCCAAGAAATTCAAGTATATGGATTTTCCATACTCTGTTTAATCTAGTGTTATTTAATATTAATCAGCAATTTGCCTGGTATTAGGAAATAGTTCTCTCATATTTCATCCCTTAATATTTTTTATATTCTTTTGTTTAGTACAGAAAAGTAATGTATTTTGACAAATTTTGGTTTTGGGGCCTTTTTTGGTTTTGTTTTGTTTGTTTAAGAGAGTTTTATGTTAAATTTATACTTGATTTTATTTAAAGATGGTTGACACTGAAAACTACGTAAGTATTTGCATTTTGCCATAATTGTCTCTCACCTTTTCCTGCTGAAATCAGATTCAGATGAATGGCTTACAACGGTGGTTTCAAGCTTTGTAAAGATAGGGCTTAAATGAATTCACACAATAATTGGAGTAAAGCCTATATTTGGTTCAGCTCTAAAAGATATTTGTTAAGTAGTTGGAAGATACAAGAGGGAATGAGAAATTTAGATTAATGGGTCTAGGTTTGGAACTGCCTACTCAGGTATTTAAAAGTAGCTGGTGACGGAAATACAAAGATCTAGTAGCTGAGCCAGCTTGTGCTACTAGGATGGATCTTCCATTCTATCCCAAATATATGTGTAAGCACTGGATCCTAACCTCCGACTCCTGCATGTTACATAAGAGACCCCCACTGTTGTTGATCATTACAAAATTTAAGTGGTAAAGTACACAGGATCTTCTTGCCTTCTATTTTGTATTCCAAAGGTTGGTTGATAATTTTCTAAGAAATTATTATTATGCAAAACCTTAAATTTTTCCCCCTGCTACGCTTGTGTACATTTCGACATTCTGTCTCAGAAAGAACCTCAATAAATAAACGTGGAATAGTTTTAAGGGTGGTAGTACAGAAACACTGAACTCTCTAAAATAAACTTTTGTCTTCAGTGCTTGGATTCTCATATCCTACTGTCAGTACTGGTTGCTCCTAAGGGTAGATGGCTCTGCATAAGTATTTATTGAATTCTAGGATTGTTTTGTTTCTATTAGAACTAATTTTTCTATATAATCTAGTCATTGGGCTAGTTATCCATCATTCCTAAATGGATGAGGTAATTATTCCCATACCTATATTTTTTATTTGCTTAGTTGCTCAACCTTTTTTGGGGGGAAGTGTTGGGGCATTTTTACAATTAATCATTCTGAACTTATTGTAACTACAAAAAAAAAAAGACAGCTATTCAAGAAACAGCTAAAGTGACTATTAAATGTCAGATCAAGCAGATTTCAAAAAAAAGAATATTACTATGGATAAAGATAGGTTTTTTTCCTAATGATAAAAGGCTCAGTTAATCAAGAGAACATAAAAATATTGTTTAGGCACCTAATAACAAAATTTAAAATATATGAAGCAAACCACTGATAGAATTCCCAGGGAAAATTTTTGTGGATACACAAATCCACAATTATAGTTGGAGATTTCAACACACCTTTTTCAATAATTGATGGAACAAGTAGACATTAAATCAGAAAAATTTTTGTGCACCGAGCCTCTAGTCTATGCTAATAAAAGAGTAATATGCTAATTGGACCAGACGTCCTTCCAGACAAAGCCGCAGCAGCTGCTGCTGCAAGGGCCAGGTCGAGGCTTAGGCAGCCGCAGCGGCTGGCAGTGGCAACAGCGGCGGCGTGATGGGGGCGTCGCCTTTCCCTGATTGGTCCAGTTGCCTCCCGCAGAGGGAGGCCAGAGGCAGTAGCAGTGAGAGGGTGATGGGGGCGGTGCCTTCCCCTGATCAGCCGGTTGAAGGGGCAGGCAGGGCTGAGGGACCCACCCTCCCAGTGCACGAATTTTTGTGCACCGGGCCTCTAGTTATATATAAAAGGCTAATAAGTGTCCCTCCACCCGTCTAACCGGTTGCTATGATGCGCAATAACCACCAGGGGGCAGACACTCAACACAGGAGCTGCCGTGATGCACAGTGGCCATTTACAGAGAAATGGCACTGCAGACCTGGCGCCAACAAAGCAACACTTGACTTCCCCCAAGTGGGACACAGGCCTCGCCACCACCCTGGAGGGACACCCCACCAAATCGCAGCCAATGCTGCCATGACGCAAAATGCAGCCCACAGCTGTGGGCGTCAGGTAATGACATCACATAGCAACACCCGGCTTCCTCTCCATAATGACGACTAGCCTCCTTGCAGTTTCTTCAGCCCAGGAACACAACTTGCTTTATAGCCAGGTGCAAACATTTCACACTGTAACCAAATATCTGTGAAGCGTTTTCCCGTGCCTCATCTCATTTGATCCTCACAGAAGTCCTGGAGTAGGTAGATAGGAGACTTGGTGGAATCCTGTTTTCTTTTCATTAGCCAGAAAATGGAGATTTAGAAAGTTTAGAAACTTGACCTGACTGAAAAGAAGTAAGAAATGGTGGACCTTGAAAATGACTTCAGGTTTTCTCACTGCACAGAATATTGTCAAACACTTCTGCAGTTAAATATTTTACCCTTTGTTCTCCCTGTGTGATCTATAATAATAATCTTCGTGTTGATATTTACTGCTACATTGCTGAAAATTACCTGAAAGAGAAGTTGGGGTGCTTCACTGGGCTGAAGAAAGTTTAGCTACATCAGAAAGCAGGTCTAATTAAGCAAGTTTATTCTATATCTATAAAAGGCTAAGTTGACTCGTGCATGGTCAATACATATAAAGTTCTCACTGGCGCCAATCGCATGCATATGTTTCCATCTGTCATTGTCAATCGTGAATTTGGTTGACACTTCTATTATAGAGAAAGGGCGAATAGCTATATTAAAATATTTCTTCTAATTAATTTATTTTCAATGTGCACGAATTTCATGCACCGGGCCACTAGTGTTATTATATTGTAGATGAAAGTCTTATAGATGTTATGCATATGGGTCATATTTTTCAATCCACTCTGTCAATTTCTTTTAATTGGTATCCTTTTTAAAAGTTAGTGTAATTATTTAGATGTTAGGGATAATTGTCATTTTATTATTTGTTCTCTCTGTTTTGCATTTTTTGTTTTATTTTCCCTGCTTTCCTGAGGGTTACCTGAACATTTTTTTAGAATTATCTATAGTGCTTTGATTTATCTAGTGTCACTTGAACACTTCTAGAATTCCATGTTGATTCATCTAGTGTCCTTGAATATATCATGGTGTTTTTAAATTTTTCTGTGGTATTTTGTATAGTATTTTTAGTGGTTACTCCAGGTATTGGATATACATAATTTATCAGTCTACTTGTATTGTCACTTTACCAGTTTAAGTAAAATGTGGAAACCTTACCTTCCTTTCTGTCCCTATACCAGGGGTGGGCAAACTTTTTGACTCGAGGGCCACAATAGGTTCTTAAACTGGACCGGAGGGCCGGAACAAAAGCATGGATGGAGTGTTTGTGTGAACTAATATAAATTCAAAGTAAACATCATTACATAAAAGGGTACGGTCTTTTTTTTATTTATTTTTATTCATTTCAAACGGGCCGGATCCGGCCCGCGGGCCGTAGTTTGCCCACGGCTGCCCTATACCCTCTCCTAACAGTATGTATTCTCTCCTTCTAGAACACCAATGGCATAAATATTAAGTCTATTGTTATTGTCCCATGATCCTAGGGTCCCACAATCCCAATTTTGTTTGTAAAAGAAAATTTTAAAGCTATACTTGATTGTATCGTTCTGTTTTTTAAGGCCTGGAATGGTGCCCATCAAAAATTGATTTGCTATAGGAATTAACATTAAAATACCAGAATTTTTTACTCAGTATACTTAATAGTATTTGAAATTTTTATTAAAAGCATATAATAAAAATAATCAATTTAGGCATTATGATAAGCAGAATAAGTCAGAGAGAGAAATACAAATACAGTATAATCTCACTTGTATGTGTGATATAAAGAAAAAAAGCTAAGGTCATAGATACAGTGAACAGATTGATGATTGCCAGAGGCAGGGCTGGGGGTGGGGGCAAAATAGGTGAAGGGGGTCAAAAGGTACAAATTTCCAGTTATAGAATAAGTAAATCATGGGGATGTAATATACAGCACAGTGACTCTAGTTTATTACTGTATGGTACTTTTGAAAATTGGTAAGGGATTAGATCTTAAATGTTTTCATCAAAAGAAAAACAATATTTTTGTAATTATATATGGTGACAGATGTAAGCTAGATTTATTGTGGTGATTGTTTTGCAATATATTAAATTATTGAATCAGTATGTTGTACACCTGAAGGTAACATAGTGTTATGTCAATTATACTTCAATTTAAAAAAAACTAAGAAAGGGGAAATTGTTACAAGAAAAGTTCAATATCCTAACGAGTGAAATCATCAACAAAACAACCAAAATTTAAACATGTGTACATACTATATTATTTGGACCCATAGTGACCTGATTCTTTCCCCTCAACACACAGGAATAAATGAAGAAGAGGAGAAGAAAAAAGCAAAAAGCAAAGAGAAAATCAAGTTGAAAAAAAAAAGGAAAAGGTATTTTTTAACATTTTTTTAAAGTAGGACTGTGAATCCAGGATGGATTATAATTTTTTTCCCCTGTATAATCCAGTTTACTTAACATTTTTTTCTTAGTAGAAGTTAGATACTCAATTGTCTTAGTGAAATATTAAAAGTCCTTCATTTCAGGAATCAAAAATAAAGTCAGTACTTAGCCACCTTAAATATTCTTCTTGGAGCAAATCAAGATATAAATAAGGAACACCCTTCCCCTTCTTTTATATATTATAGAATTTTGAGTTTTAGAACATCAGCTAATCTTATAAAGGAATATAAGTCTAACTTCTTCACATATATATTTCCTCCTCATTTGTATGAGGTGGGAGCTTAAATATTTGTATTTTCAAAATATCATTGCCATGCCTAGATATTAATTTATTAATAGGATTTATATACTCACTTGTCATGCTAAAAATTCCTTCAAGTCTTTCAAAACCTTCATCAGCCACCTATGAATTTTTATAGCAATTTTTTAAACAATTAACTGGTTAAAGAAATAGATTAAAGGAATTAAATAGCAACTGTTTCCATGGTTAATGAGTACAGTTTCATTAATACTAGAACAAAGATATGCATACAGACATTTTTTTTTCATACAGACATTTTTTAAAGCACTTGGCAATAATAATTTGGCTTTGACAGCAGATTCTGCAAATCAGGTGTTGTCATTTTGTAGTTTTTATAGAGCATTTAATATATACATTTTAACACCTCTGCTATTTTATAAATTGGAATAATTATTAGGAGTTAAAATAATATTTAGTATAAAAACTAATAGGAAGATAGACCTCAAGTGTATTGTGTAGTCTGACTAGTATATTGTTGAATTATTGCATTGCCACAGCAATGTGGTTTGCTTATAGGGAAAGTTAGATTATTTTCTTCCAAATCTAATAAACTTGTTTTATTGTAACAGATTATTTATTCAAGCTTTTCTATATTGGCCTCACAAACCTCAGACAGAGCTGAAATCATATGAACTTTTCTAGGCACCCTTAGCAGAGATAATGCCACCTAATAGAGTTGCTGTACCAAGAAGGGGGACATCTGTAATAGTGTCAACAATAAAATAAAATAAATTGAGATTCCAGAATAAAAAAGACAAAAACTGTGCAGGCAGAGAAGAAGCTATCAGTAGAATCCAAAGGCCAAGCAGGCTGTTTAAAACAGGAAGACAGGGAAGAGTTGAGAATGATAGAGTTGAAGAGGAAATAAGAGAATGCATGTAAATAAGCTCAGGAAATGGCCAGAAGTCTTAAGTAAGTAGACAAGGAGGAGAAAGGAATACAACCTCACAGAACCAGAGGAACTTCTGGTCCCTAAACAAGGCAGGCAGTTAGGGAGTTCACACAAGTCAATCTGCAGAAACAGCCTTGTAGTCTCATTTGTTTACTTTTCTCCTCTTTGAATCTCTGGAGTTTTTTTTAGTTTGGGTTTTAGCTTCTAATGTCTAGATCCCTGAACTATCTCTTGAGATGCTATTTTAAATTGATGCAGTTCCTATATAGTCATACATAATTGGGTTTGGGTAAGGGTAGGTTGTTGCACACTTCATAGAAGGTCTTAAGAGATGGCTTCTCCACTTTTTGTTTTCTTTTTCTTTTTTAATATTAGAGGAAGGACTTCTATAGTTTTTTCCCCAATTTAGTATTACAGTAATATTAGAAAAATAAAGTATAATAATAAATCATTATAATTAATTTATATGGAATATTCATTTAAAAGCACCTTTTCTGTAACTAGTGAAAATTATTTTGAAAAACAAATGTGTATCTGTTATCACTCTGCATCTAGAGAAATCAAGTACTTTAACTTGAAAAAAATCAAAAGAATTAGCACTGAAGGGATTGAGCAAAAAGAAAAAGAAAGAACTCATGAACATGGACAACAGTGCAATGACTGCTGGGGGGACATGAGTGGGTGGAAGTGGAGGAGGGTATATGAGGGATAAATGGTAATGGAAAAAAAATAAAATAAAGGGAGAAAAAAGAGAAAGAACAAAAGTGCTTTTATTTTGCTAATTTTCAGCTTTTACCCATTTATACTGAGTTATATAATTAGAACCCTTTTTATATAATCTCATTCCTTTGTGGCTCTTTTAAAAGAATATGCCAGCAATTTTCAACTGGAGTGCCACAGAATTTTCAAAACATGCAACACCTGACTATATAGTCAGAGGCACTGACCTTTTTTTCCTTAGATTGTCAATTAAAAAAATGACAACAGTCAACACAGCAATAGCCATCTGGTGTGAATGAATCAAAATTATACCTATTTTTTTTTTGTCAGATCAGCAAAAGTAATATATATTTTTGGTGTGCTGCAGAATTTTACTAATTAGTATTTTTGCCATGAGATGAAAAAGGTTGAAGATTGATGGAATATGCTAACAAGTTATTGCAATACAAGTGAGTTATCCTATATAATAAAAGCCTAATATGCAAATTGTCCCCTCTACTGGGAGTTCGACCGCTTGCTATGACATGTGCTGACCACCAGGGGGCGGTGTGGAATATGGTGGGCGTCAGCGATTCAGCACTGACAATGGGCAGCAATGGAGGCACTGCCAGCCCCAATGGGCCCCAACGAGAGCAGCACTGTGGCGGAATGGTGGAGCAGATGAGTGGGCGGTGCCAGGCCAAGGCAGGTGCAAGCAGGGCCCAATTGCCCCGCCAATCACCCCGCAGATGGCGACCAGTGGCAGCAGTGGGGGTGGGGGTCGGGGCCGCCACCCGGCTCCCAGGCACTGAGGGAGCCAGGTGGAGGCCCGATCACCTCACCAATTGCCCCACAGGCAGCAACCAGAGGCAGTGGCGGGGGTTCAGTGACTCAGGCAGTGGGGTGACGTGTGGGAGTGTGGGGGCCCAGGTGCTGCCCACAGCCCAGAGGTCAGCTGGGACCTGCCCTTCCACACTAAATGCTTGCGCTTCGATCGCTGGCCAGGCCTAGGGATCGCAGCTGCGCACAAGTTTTGTGCACTGAGCCTCTAGTGTATATAATAAGGCTTGGTAAATGCAACTTTGCCTTATAAAATTTTGAAGGGTACAATAGAATGAAAAACTGAAAATCAGAAAAATAGTTTTCATCCTCACCAAATTTATAATTTTTATAACTGTATAAAACTGTAACTATGTAACTATATAAAAATATATATAACTACTAAAGGTCTGGTGCACAAATTCATGCACCAGTGGGCCCTTGGCCTCTGGCCTGCGAGATCGGGCCAAAACCGGCTCTCTGACATCCCCCAATGGGTCCCAGATTGCAAGAGGGCACAGGCCAGGCCAAGGGACCCCACTAGTGCACAATCGGGGCCAGGGAGGGATGCAGGAGGTTGGCAAGCCAGGAAGTGACCATGGAGGGCTCCAGGGCATGTCCGGCCCAACTCGCTAAGTCCTGATCAGCCAGACCCAGGCAGCAAGCTAACCTACCAGTCAGAGCATCTGCCCCCTTGTGGTCAGAGCACATCAGAGCGACTAGTCGACCAGTTGACTGTCTGCCCCCTGATGGTCAGGGCATGTCATAGCGAGCGGTTGAGCGACCTTAGCATATCATTAGCATATTACGCTTTGATTGGTTGAACAGACGACCAGACACTTAGCATATTAGGCTTTTATTATATAGGATATGAAACTTATATAACTAGAGTTGAGCAGAATAGAGATATTTGTTTTGTCAGTTTCAGTGACCAAGTAGTAAAACTTCTAAATTCAGCATTTTAAGAGAATCCAAATATATACAGCACATTTTGAGTTCTTTGTTTATACTCCCTCCTTGCTCCAAGAAGGATTTAAGGCAGATAAAATCCCATTTAAATGTACCTATCAGCTATGAATGCAGTTATCAGTCAGTATACATTATTGCCCATAGGTCTTATTCATCCAGTTCTGCTGAAGAGGACACCTCAAAACCAAAGAAACAAAAATATCAGAAGAAAGAAAAGAAAAAAGAAAAAAAGAATAAGTCAAAAAAGGGGAAACATCACAAAAAGGAAAAAAAGAAGAGAAAAAAGGAAAAGCATTCTTCCACCCCTACTATTTCTGAAATCTCCAAAAAATAACAGACTGTGGCTTTAACCCACTAAATTTAAAATTTTGGTTTTGAAAATCATTTCACCTTCCTTGGAATTTGCTATATAATTATGCTTTGCAATAAATCACGGGCTTGTTCATATGGACATTTTTTTCACATATGAGACCATTATCCTCTGGCAATATATTTTTAATGTACTATGATTATAACGTATGAATCAGTCTTATTACTTGATAGGTGTGCCCCAATATGGATATCTGTACATACAAACACATCATTTTTGGTATTCATGTCTCTGTACATTTGACTAGTATTTTTACTTCATAAGTTGATTGTACTATGGTCAACACAGGTAATCTACCTGGCAGTTAATGAGTATTGCCGAATCAAGTGTCTACCTTCCAGTGATACAGTGAGATAGGGGATAATGCTTTGCTCTTGACACTGATGAATTTAATAGCTTTTTATATCCTATGATAATGTATGAAGATAGTAATATTCTTCACTGTTGTTTTTTAATCTCTGGTTTTTTTGGATGTCATAGAAGATGAAGCTGATTTATTGGTCTTGACTAGAACTTTTTAAATGAATGGAAAAGGATAATGAAAATATTTATAACAAAGTTTCATTGTGTTATGACATGCAGCATTTCTAATACCTGCCTCCTTATTTTTGTAACTATTAAAATATTTCTTCCTGTTTAAAAACACAAGCCTAGTTCAGCCTATTAGTCTCATAGAGATAATGTTGTGTTGGGCAGGATTTTTAGAATAGACTCCTGGGTTGTTTTACAAATGTGCCATATTGGCATGTCTCAGAGTGATACCTCAAGAACAGAACTCTTTATTTAGGAGATGACAATGAAATCTTCATTAGAGCTGATTTTTATTGTATTCCGTATGTAAATTTTATGAAACTTGTTTCTATGGGTAATGTGGAAAATTTTTATAAATGTGAACATATATATTTATTTGTCTGAAATAATTTGTAGTTTTGAAGCAGGTTTCACACCGAATTAATGCTTTCATAAATGACCAGTGTGGGGTGTTTCTTTTACTTCAGTCATAAACCTCAGGAGCAGTGATAAAAATTTAGGATTAAGAATTTTATTCTGTACTTTTTAAAATTTAAGAGCCAGGGAGTTGCATCATGAAAGTCTTTATATAACAATGGAAATTTTATATGGGTAAGCATTTTCAAACAATATTAGTAGATATAAGTGTTTCTTACATTTTAAATGTCACAGTGATCAGTGTTAGTTACTGTACTTAACATTCGGGTATCCCTTATGCCCAATAACTTAAATACTTTTATTGTAGCAGCATCAGGAGTCAATCCATTACCAATGCACAGCACCAAAGACTGCAGGTACCTCACTGCGGTGCAGTTGTAAGTTTTCAAATTGGTAACCTACAGACATGGCTACAGATGAACTCATTATGGGGAAATCAGGTAAGTACACGTATCCTCACAGGCTGGACAGGTGTACTGATTCTTTCTTCACCCAGCACCCCCCACCTGGCATGACCTCAGTAAGCCTGGGGAGCCTCACAACCCCTGTTAACGTCTGCTTACCATGCTCAGCTTCTAGGGATGCTGCACCCACATCCCTGTCCTATCGCGTTACAGCCATGGAAGCTCTCACACTTACAGCTTTTCCATACCTAATTTAGTCATATGGCCATGAAAAGAAATTACCTTGTTTAAATTAGGTTTAGTCAGTTGTTTGGAGAGAAACACAGAGTTATTAGGTTTTTAAGGGCTTGTTTTGCCTTTGCTGTATTTTATGTATTTTTGAAATCTGTATTTTCTGAAAATATAGTTCTTTGGCTATCAAAATGACCAAATAAGTAAAAAAAAGTCTTATTTAAATTATTGGAAAGTGCCATATGCAAAAGAATGGTTTCATCCTATTGAGTGTGTAACGTGGTTAATATGATAATTTTAGTGAATAGAGTTAATTTAGTTATTCGTAAGTTTAATTCTGTTAATTGTAAAGATTATAATTTGGCTCATTAAATTTATTTCTGCATGGTGACATGATTAATAATGGTTCAGAGAGTTACATAAAATTCAGCTCTCATTAACTCTGTGGTATGCAAATTAAAAGATTTTAATGCTTGGTAATTATTTTCCCCCAGAAACAATCTTGGAATTATTCTTAGGTAAATTTTCTATCATATGAGAATAGTTTATGAAGCACCTCCTCTGAATTAAATAAATTTGTTTTTACTAAAGTAATTTTCTTCTAAAGTGATACTATTATTATTGGTCTTCAATGCAAATCTCAGTGGTATATTTTAGGGGAAAAAATAGTGAAATTTACTCTTTGGCAGTAATAGCAGGCAGAAAAGTCAATTTTGTAGTAAAAATCCAAAAAGTCCTGGACTTTCTAACTACCTATGTGACCTTCAGCAGAGTCATTTAGTTTCTCTTGGCCTTGGTGTTTTTCATCTATAAAATATTGTACTAAGATCCCTTCCAGTCCTTAATGTATGAGTATTGATATTTTAGTAAAATTCAGGTGATATTGTTCATTTTAGAAATTATTACAGATGACCGGGTAGCAGACTGCAATGATAAAGGTGAAATTTATTAATACTACTGTTAAGCACATTCAGCTTTTGCAAGCAGGTAATTGATATTTGGTTCACATCCTCACCATCCAACGTGCACCATTTTTGCTAGATGCAGACAGAATTTTTGTTTAGACCTGTATCAATAATCACGTTATCTGAACACCTTGAGGCTACTGCTTCTGGGGTGATGGACCCACTCCCCACACAATTCCCTATTTTCTCCTGATCATCTGTTGACTAACATCTCTCAGAGGACTCCCCAGTGCTTCACACTTAATACTCACCTGCTTTTTGATCTTTGAGGCCAAAACATCAGTAAATGAGCAAAATGCATGTATCTATACTTACCACTCTCAAATTATAGAACCCTAGGTCACCTTCAGTTAAACTAGGTTGAAGAGTTATTAATAGTGTTCATAAAAATGTCATCGTGGCCTTTCTTCAACAAACATTTATTGCATCGCCTGGCACGGCAAACACTCTACTAAGCACTGGGAATACACAGATTAAAAAGACTAATTGGCTTCCCTGAAGACGTTCGTCATTCAGTTGGTAGGAGAAACACAGCACTTTAGTGCAGTAATTGACCGGAACGTGGGTTTAGAGAAACACATAGGGGTACTTCACCAGCTCTGGAGAAGTTGGAAGAGGCTCCTTAGGGAAAGTAGTGCTTGAAGTACATTTTGGTTGAGGATGAGGGTGGCAGTTATGGTAGTTCCTGACCAGTGGGCACTGTGAACAAAGACCACAGTGGAGGCTGGGGGGTATGTGTGTCAGAATTAACAAGCAATCTGTGAAGCCGAAGAAGTAAGATTTCAGACTCCCATCTAGGTTCTCGGGAACAAAAGGAGGTCGTCTTAGGTTCCATGTTTAGGGAGTTTGGACTCTAATGTGTAAGCAGTGAGGCACCATGACAGAATTTTAAGGAAAGAAATGACTTATTGGGGTTTGGTTTCATTTATTTCATAATTCCACCAGTTTTAAAAGATGAAATTGCTCTCATTAGAAGGCCACATAAAAATGATTAGAATCTTTACGTCCTATTATTTATACTCTTCTAGTCCCACTTTTCTAAGATCTGCTTATTACCGAAAATCATACAGTGACTTGTCTCCTAAACACACATAAAGTTGCAGTATTCTTTATCAGACCTGTCCCCAGAATTACATGCATATGTACATACTATGAAATGTGTTTTGTTTTTAATTTTATTTTAGATTATTTTTGACTGACAAATTCTGTTACTATGTTAGTATTTGTTATGTCCAAATAAATCATTTAAAATGTACTTTTCAATGTACAGGCTGTGCTGTAATTTGATAAGCCTTCTTGCGTTTTTAGAAAAAAGTTATTGATGTGACATTGTTTCACAAAACCATACATGTTTCAAGTGTACAGCACAACAAAACGTCATCACACTGCAACAAATGGCCTTCACCCCAAGCAAAGTCTCTCTGTTCCCATTCTCCCCCTTTTTCCACCTCCAGATACCTCCAACCTTTCTCTCTGGCCATCACCACACTGTTGTCTGTAAGGCTTCTTGCTTTTAATATTTTGTCTCAATCTATGAAGCACAACTGCTTCCAAGTGGCAGAGACAACCTGTTGGTTCACTGGATGAGCCCTGTGGCGCCCCCTCAGGTTACCTGGCTAGACAGGGAATTCTTCAGGAACTCCACCTAGTCCTAGTGCTGGGATTCAAGCCTCTTGGGCAGCCAGCATTCAAGAACTGGTTTCTTAGGCCTGCATAACGCTAATCCCACTTGTGAAGCTCAGGGTCTTCTGACCTCATTTGTCTTCTCCCAACTCCTCTAAAAATATGCAGTATTGCCCTAACCTGTTTGGCTCAGTGGATAGAGCGTCAGCCTGTGGACTCGGGGGTCCCAGGTTCGATTCCGGTCAAGGGCATATACCTTGGTTGCGGGCACATCCCCAGTGGGGAGTGTGCAGGAGGCAGCTGATCGATGTTTCTAACTCTTTATCCCTCTCCCTTCCTCTCTGTAAAAAATCAATAAAATATATTTTTTAAAAATATGCAGTGCCTGAGACTGGGATGTGTCTCCCAGAGCACACCCATGAAGCATCCAGCCACGCCCAGCCCATGCCTGTCCCACAGGTCAGGAGTTGGGACCATGAGCATTTTGCAGACCCTGAATCTTAAGTTTCCTACTTCTTATGTCATTTATGGCCTGTGTCCTTCCCCTTGAGCAGAAAAGTAGAACTATACCAGTGCCTTAACTAAACCTACGTTTATTTTCACCAGAGGCAACATCTAATTAGTAATATAATTATTAACGTGTGCATTAAGATAGCTGACTTTCTGGAATTTTTTTAAATCAAGCTAGCTAAAAGATCAAGAAGTACCACAAATGCTATACATGCTTTCACAAAAAGAAATGAAAATTCTTGGCTTTTGTGACCACATGAAAATTTTTGTAATGTAGTGTTTTAACTTCCAAACTTCCCATGCACTCTAAGCAATCTTAATATCTAAACACTGACCAAATTGCGCTTTTTTGAAACGTAAAATATAACAGGCAGTAGACGTTACATCTGGAACTATGATGTCAGTATAACCACATGTGGCTATTTAAATTTAAATTAACTAAAAAAATAAAACTGTATTCCGTTGCATTGGTCACATTTCAAGTGCTCAGTAGCCACAGTGTGGAGTGGCTACCCTGCCAGACCATGCACATAGAGAAAGGACATTCCCATCTTCTCAGAAACTTCCACTGCACAGCACTCGTTTAGAAGATACCCCCAGTTCTTGGTAGAAATTTTGGCCACCTAATGATCAAAAGTTCTATCCCTGAGAGCAATAAAGCATTTTTTTTTTCCTATCAGAACACCGAAGCTATATTCACCACTTTTGAAGAAGACAAGTCTTCCAACTGCAGACTTTATGCAACACAGAGATGTATGTGTTCGGCAGAGCCAGCTTAAAATGATTCCTTTTTCCTTTTGAATTCTATTATAAAACCAAGTCTGTGTTCTTGTAATAGAAATATCACTTAAGGGAAAAAAAATCTTTTAAGACAATTATAATTTGCAGAAACTGTAGTTTATTTGTAGCTGTCGCAGTGGCATTAGGTAGATCCAGGAATTTTCTCAGTGAGGACTTTTGTCATGGTTATCCTTCAGTATGCAGAAAACATGTATTATGCAGGTTATACATTGTAATATATTTTGGTTTTGAATGTTAGCTTTTATAAAGGCAATAAATATATGGTGAGTGTGCCAGCAAATCCTCTAAAAAAAGGCTTGGGTTGACTTTTAAGAGACTTAAGAGCATTCCACCTCTAGTTTATAAGACCATTCTCCCAAAATCTACCTATCTGTACCATCGCTTTAAAAAAATAACTGCCTCTAAGTACCAAAAAGTCGTGAAATTCTGGTAATATGTCTCATTGTTTCTCACTGAGATAGGCTTGCTTATCTGCTAATTGATAAATTATTTAACTTTACCTAAAGTACTAACATAATTTTGTATAATGTACATTTTAATTAGCAAGTAAAAGTAAACTTATGTACATGAAAATCTATTAAATCCTTAGTGGGTGTTTAATCAAAAGATTGATAAAAATGCAGCTATGTTTTGCTTTGTGAGTGGTGAATTTTTTAAAAGTATTACGAACTATTTAAAATGCACTTTATTTTTACTGTTCCATCTCTCCTGTGAGCTTTTATAACACAGGATTTTTAATAATACACGATGTTGATTTGTGTTGTATCCATTGTTTTTTCCTCAATTACATCATCAGCTTCATAGATTGTTTCATTTGTTGAATTTGATGCTGCGTTTGAATTGGGGGTTTTGATTTTCCTATTTGAGTTGCCTGCAAATACACAAAACAAAATGAAATAATTAATGGGAAATTATGTCATGAAACTTGACTTTGTAACAGTTTTGCTTAACAACATATATTTTGTAGCAATATTGAAAATACGATGTCCTGAAAACACTATGTGGATACGTGAGAACTGAATCCCTTCAAAGTTGTTTTTGAGCGTTTTCTCCTGAAAGTCACATAAGGGAAATGTTCAGTAACAGAAGTTGGGTTTTATTTCCATGCTGACCTTTCTCCACGCTTCTTTGGAGATAACTACACATTTGAAGAGAAGGTAACGATTTCTGAATTGTTGAACAAAAGTGTGGCTGTCCCTATTCTTGAAGTGAACAAAACTATACTGAAGCCAATCATCATAATTTGCAGCACTTTAAGGCTTTGCCATCAGAGTCGATTTAGATGTAATTTTAAAAAAGAACACACTTGTGCCACAATCTCATTCACTCATGTAAATATGAGTCCAGAATGTACAAGGATAGAGAACTTTTTGGTGGCAAAATAATGTTCTAACTCTAAACATCCAGGCATAATGTTTCAACCATTTGATTTGTAAAAGCTAATTTGTGGAAGGCACATTTTCTGACTTGGCAAGTAGCCCTCTGCCCAAATAAGCAAGTAAAGCTGTTTAAAGTAAACATAGGAGGGAAAGCTGGCATGAAAATTGGGTGAAATGATAAGTTCTTGATTGTTATTTGCAAAGTAGACTTTTAAAATATATTTGCTTCAAATTTAAATACAATTAAATACTTTAGTAGAATATATTCTAAATGAGGGCCCTTGAAATTATTTTCCTCCTATAATATCTGAAAAACAATGTTTGTGGTTTATTTTTCATTTGTTTAGTATTATTTTTACTCTCCTGTATCATAGCAGGTAAAGGTAAAAGATCAAAGTTTCATATTATCTGCGTAGCATTTGTATCTCATGTAAGCATGTCCTTTAAACATCTAAAATTTGAATATTTTATTGGAATTCCAGGAAATCTGAAAACTAATGTGTAATTCAAGTCCTTCATGTTTCCGAAGCTTTTCACTTAATTAAATTCATAACATTTTAATCAGGGTTGCAAGGTGTTTTTGTCTACTTTGTCACCATTTTTGTTCTCTTTTTATGATGAATATACTCAGGAAGTTATTTCCCAACTTAGTTTGAGGTTCTCTCTAAGTCTTCAACATTCTGACACCTCTAGTTTCCATTATGCTTTTTTTCTGTCAACAACTCAAGGGGTTTATCTAACCTGTCTACAGCCCTCTGAGACCTAGAGGTTCACAAAGTACCTTTCAGTTACTATAGATTTTTCTCACCAAGGACTTGTGCGGTCCCCTTCCTCCAGCCCTGACTCATTGTTTCCTTGGCTACTGCCTGGATTCCTCTAACCAGTGTAGGGACAGAGATCTTTTCTTAGATTGGCCTCTTAAGGTAAGGCAGTTCCCCCAACAACCAATTTGCTCCACGAACAAGAAAAGATTTGTTATAAACATCATACTGACACTATTTGAAACAGGAGCTTTGATGAGCATGTTACCAATCCCAATGTTCTCTTCCTGCAGCTGACTGCATCCCTTTGGAAAAATTTTTTTAAAATATATTTTTATTGATTTCAGAGAGGAAAGGAGAAGGAGAGACAGAAACATCAATGATGAGAGAGGATCATTGATTGGCTGCCTCCTGCACTCCCCACACTGGGGATCGAGCCCCCAACCCAGGCATATGCCCCGACCAGGAATAGAACTGCGACCTCCTGGTTCATATGTTGAAGTTTAACCACTGAGCCACTCTGGCCAGGCCCCTTTAGGAGAATTTTAAAAGAGAAAGAAGGAACTGTCTCAACCACCTCAGCTTTTCCTAAGGTGGTTGAGACAGTTCCTTTTTTTGCTTTAAGAAACAAAAGCTAATTTTTTAACCAACAAAATAGGGGTAAAACCAGCTGCCTCTTTTAGGCCAAAAAATTACAATATGGATTCGATTTAAAGTAAGAAATCTGTAATTCCATTGAGCTTCCAAGGGATTTGTTACACATAAAGCAGTTTTTCTTATCTAATGCCTCTTTTTTTTTTTTTTTTTTTAACCTGAGTACAGATTGCAAAAAAAAGATCCATGTGCTTTCCTGGGTTGACATTAGTTGCTTTATGCTGCTGTCTTCCCTTTTTTTTTTTTAATCTGGTCATCATATGTAAATCTCAATCTTCCTTTAATCCTATACTTCTCAGACTGGCATTTAAATTAACATTTTAATCTTTACCAACATTTAAATTCATTTAACCAAACGAATAGAATTCATTTAAATCAAATTCATCAATCTACCTATCCTCATCACAGTCTAGGTCAATATATTTTTGCTGATAAGATTTAAATTTTGTATTCATTTTCAGAACCATTCCTCAGGGATCCACTTATCCTATAAACTCTTCTGTGAACACTGCTTACTAAAATTAAATTTATTGGGGTAACCATTGGTCAATACATTATATAAATTTTCAGGTATACAATTCTATAATACACCTTCTATGCATTGCATTGTGTGCTCACCACCGAAAGTCTAGTCCTTTCTGTCACCTTATATTTGACCATCTTTCCTCTGCCCACCTTCCCCTCTGGTAACACCATACTGTTGTCTGTGTCTATGAGTTTATTGCTTTCTGTTTTATATCCCACCTATGAGTGAAATCATATTGTTCTTATCCTTTTCAATGTGACTTATTTCACTTAGCATGATACTAGTACTTGAGAGTTCAGGATCCATCTATGTTGTCCCAAGTGGCAGTGCTTCATCCTTTCTATGGCTGAGTCGTATTCCATTTTATATATGTACCACAGCTTCATATCCATTATCCATCGAGGATTGGTTGATTAGGTTGTTTCCATGTGTTGCCTACCATGAATAATGCTGCAGTGAACATAGGGGTACATATCCTACACTGAGAGGCCAGATTATTATAACCGGCCAGATTATTATGACCACCCCATCAGTACTTCATTGACACTTCCAAAATTACTGAATATTGAAAACTTCCTAAGCAAATACTCTCAAGGTTTTATTATTATTATTTGCATAACTAATTCACTTCGTTGTACTGATGGGGGGGTCATAATAATCTGGCTGGTCATAATAATCTGGCCACTCAGTGTATAGCTTTACAAATAAATATTTTCAAATTTTGAGGGTAGATATTCAGAAGGGGTTGCTGAGTCATATGGTAACTTTATTCTTAATTTTTTTTTTTTGAGGAACCTCCATACTGTTTTCTGTAATGGCTGTACCAATTTACATTGCCACCAGCCGTGTATAAGGTTCCTTTTTCTCTACAGCCTCTCCAACACTTATTTCTTGTCTTATTGATAATAGCCATTCTAATAAGTGTGAGTTAAAATATCTCGTGGTTTTGATTTGTGTTTCCCTTATAGTTAGTGAAGTTGAGCATTTTAAAATATATCTGTTGGTCATCTGTATGTCTTCATGGGAAGAGTGTCTTTCTGGTTCTCTGCCCATTTTTTAATTGGTTTGTTTTTGGTGGTGTTGTTGAGTTGTATGAGTTCTTTATATATTTTGGATATTAGACCTTTATTGGAGGTATCGTTTGCAAATATCTTCTCCCACTCAGTTGGTTGCCTTTATGTTTTGTTGATGATTTCTTTTGCTGTGTAGAAGCTTTTTAGTTTGATGTAGTCCCATTCATTTATTTTTGCTTTTACTTTCCTTGCCTTTAGGAGCAAGTTCACATAAACCTCTCTGAGACCAAGGTCCATAAGTTTAGTACCTATGTTTTCCTGTATGTATTTTTTCCTTTTTCTATTAATCCTCACACAAGGATATTTTTTCCTTTGATTTTTAGAGAGAGTAGAAGGGAGGGACTGAGGGAGGGTTAGAGAGAGAGAAAGAAAGAGAAATATTGATGTGAGAGAGGCACATCAATTGGTTGCCTCTTGCACGCACCACAACCAGGGCTGGGGATCAAACTTGCAACCCAGGTATGTGCACTTGATGGGGAATCGTACCATGACCCTCCAGTTTGCAAGCTGATGCTCTAACCACTGAGAACATGGCCAGGATTCTCCTATGTATTTTATTATTTATGTACAATTCTCTTGCCTGCCATTTAAAAAAAAATGCTGGGACCTCTGCCAGTCTTCATCTCCTATCTCTCTGGCAGAATTGTAATTAAACTTTTCTGCCATTGTCTGCCTAGCTCCTAGCTTCTGTGTACCATTCGGCAGGCCTACAACAGCTTCTAACTACTAATCAGCTGGCTCACTTTATTATTTAGTAGAAAATCTACATATCCCACTCATCCCACTGTACCTTCTAGTGGAAACAAGCAATCTTAGATTTTCACCTAAAAGGGTTTATTTGCAAGAGGACATTTTCCTCTCAAGTTTAATATGAGGCACAGGGCTGGATCTGAAGTAAATGGTGAAGAGCAAAACTATAGACCTCTCCCCTCTTACTGCCCTGCCTTCCCTTAAGGATATATAGGTTATCTCCGATGAGCCATAGTTAAAAATTCATTGTGAAAGTTTAAATCCTAAGCTTGCATTTTTGCTTTGTCCATTTGTCAATGAGTAAAGGCAATTCTATCCAGAAATGTTTTCCTACCCTATTTTTTCCACAATTGTTTTTTTTTCTTTACATTTTGTGCATTGTTAATCTTTTCCATCCATTGATAGCTAACACAACTAACAAAGGAATTTAACTGATACTTTAAGTCCTTTCAATGAATTTTCACACTGAGAGACTGGCTTCTATTTTGCTTGTTTCCAACATCAACCAGGATTGCTTAACACTGTGCCCCGAGAAGGACTCAGGGATGCTAAATGTAGCCATAGACTGCTGAGCAATTTGGTTTTCTGCATTCTAGGAACAAAAACAGCCATAGGAAATTCCAGACTCATTATTTTAAGTAGAAAATTCTCTTTAGGAGACACAAGTGGCCTCTTCTGTCATTAAGTTCAAATTAGTCCATCCTCTACTAAGATCTCAGTGAATTCTT